TAATTGGCAAATTTTTGTTATCAGGTTGTTCCGTAATTAATTTACCTCTCAGCACAGTGAACACGAATTTTCTTAAAATACACTTGGAAAAACTGGAAAAGTCGGGGAATTTCATTCTCCTGTTTGAGTGGAAACCATGAACTCACCGAAGGTGTTGTCTGTTGAATATTCTTCAGGAAATTTTTGCTTTAACAGTTAATACCATTATGGTATTAATTACACTGCTTGTTTTCGACAATACATTTGATGTGAAATTAAATATAGCAACAAACAGGGTTTCTACGGTTTTTAAGTCTTTAGATTTTTTAGAAACGATTTTTGGTCCTTAATTTTGGCCATACTCGGCAGAAGGTCCTTAATTTTAATCACCTGAAATTTCTGTTTGTTTTTATGACTGCCATTTTGAATGTGAATTAACATTTTGGAGGAATATTTTTGCGATTCACTGACATATGTGGTTATCTTTTGAATTGGTTCATGGGTTATAATTTGTTTCTATTTCTAATATAAATGATGGGATACTCAAGTTTGTAATTAAGAAGTGAAACATAAGCATTTTTAAATTAATTTTTTCTAATAAAGAGCTTTTAAACAACTTTTCGCTTTTGGAGATATGAATTCTTTTATTATACGGTTCTAAATTTATCAACTTATCAACATTTTGGCGATTTTAAGATTAGTCTGTATAGAAAATTCTAAGAATATGCACCAGTTTTCTCTATAAAATTAATTTTAGACTTTTTCCCTCCTTTTTTTTTTTTTTTTTTTTCCCCAAAATATTTCTGTCTTTTTGCTGTTATAGAATTGGTAGGGATAATTTTTCTTTAGGATTTTAGACATTGCAGCTTGGAAGGTTTAGAAGGATTTGAAGGCAAGATTTATAGACCCGTGATTCTAGAAGTTTCGGAAAATATGTGATAAAATGAAAAATGTCTCCATGACATCTACACGTAATGGATGTGTTTTACAGAAAAATTGCAATGAATTTCTTACTTTTTAGAGAACGTCTGGAAGAACAATGAAAACATAATATTTGAATATTTTACTTCTGATACTACAAACTTTTAGCATGTTTTTCTTCCCTTTGTTTTCTCTACTTTTCACTAGACTCAAGCATGGAAAATATCAAAAATGCTTCTAATCTTATCACATGGGTAGGCATTATAGAAAGGGATTTTTATATTAATAAAGAGATTGAAAACTTAAATTTTAAAAAATTCATCTAGCATGTCTTAATGCATCATACACATAGCTGGCAATAGACATTTTCCCACCTGATGCCAATCTCTGTGGATACTAAATTTTGCAGCCTAGTGCCTTTCTAATTTCTGCTTCCAGTACCTGCTCTAAATTCTAAAAGTTTTGCTATTTCTAGATTTTGTTGTTCAGTGTGTCACTAAATTCTAAAAATTCTGCCACATCAGTTCTTTACCATAAATATATTTCATATTTCTTCTAAATTTTCATGTTACTAAAGAAATAAAATTAGCCGCTTTTTCTATACATTCTAAATGCTTTAGTGTTTTTTAGAATAACTGAAATCCTTAGTTAAATCCAAAAATTCTGAAATGAAAAGGAAACATATTGAAGAAAGAAACTGAATACGTCAAGAAAATTATTCTTCAAAGATATGTGCAGTTATTATTATGTAAATTACCCAATTGTTTATGATTTCATCGTTTACTATAATTTCCCATTTCTATTTCCTCACGATAGAATTTCTGAGCCAGATTAAATTAAAATTAAATTGTATAATCTTTGACTAAACTACTCCACATTTTTAGTTTGAATTTGACTGTTCTTGTTTAATTACCTCACCGTGAGCTGTAATTGAATTTTGTTAGCATCAGAACATGCCCTTATATTCTAAGTTCTTTTTAAATAAGAGGCTTATTTAAATCCTTTGTCTGATATTGTAGTTACTTTCAGACCATAGCAATAATTTACTTCACGTCTGTCGGGGGGGGTTTTAGACTATTTAACTTTTACCAGATCAAAGTAAACCCTTATTGGCACATTGTGGAGAAGTTGACAAGTTAAGGAGATAAAGCACACAGACAACTAGTCGAGAGCAGTTGGTTTGCTAATTGAGACGAAATCTCTTAATTGTTAGAAAATATGGCTTAAAGAGAAGGAAAGTTGAATATAAACTAGCCAAAATTGTTTGGGAAGGCTTCAAGTTAAAATGATGGATAACTATTTTGTTGAGTGTTGTTGTTATGAAACATAAATGCTTTGGTTAGCTTTTAATGTTGTTAATTATTCCTAATATCATTTAAGAATCAATGTCATAAAACTTTAACTGTGAAATATTATTATATTTTGATTTTAATAGAGCTTTTTTAACAAATCTTGTTAAAAAATAAAATTTAATAGTGGCCATGTAAATCCATAATGTTTAAGGTAGTCAAACTACCTAATTTAATTATTTATAACTAACTGCGTACCCTTAAAAATTATCTTTACATATTAAAGCAACTTATTGCCTTTCATTAGTATTCACTGTAATCACAAGATAAAATACAAAAATGTAAAAATTCAAGTAAAACTTACTCTTTGCATCTAGTGAGACTTAAAATAATACAAAATAACTTATCACCTCTTGTGCTTTAATGGCTTATTTGAACCTTAAAGTAACTGGGTTATAACCCCTGGAACTCTACATGAACCTACAATACTAACTGCATCAAACAGAGTATGACTAACTTTCAACACTTGTCAACCATGCCTAGATCAGGCCTTTCAGGTTTGTTCTAATCAGCAGGTCTCTCTCTAGACAAGCAGCAGCGGTGAAAACATTCAGTCTTTTGGTTAAGAATCATGCTGATTATGATCTTACTTCTCATTTTAACATATGCTGTTTGACATAAAATCTACCTGCTATTTACTAAACCTCTAAACTGACCAAGTATGTGACAAAATGAGACAAAAAAAAAAAAAAAAAAAAAAAAATCAACATAAAGCTAACTGTTAGTAAAACGTAAATGTCATTTATCTTCTTTCAAATAATATGTCTGACTATTATAAGATATTTAATGATAAATTGCTTAAAGTTTATTTTATTCTCAAACTTTTTAATAATCATGTTAATTCATGTTTAGTAATAATACATACTACTTAGGGATCTATTTTATTTTTAGGATGGTATGACAAAAATTCAGGCATAGATAATATTTTTAATTGAATTTATTCAGCTCACGTTTGCTCATAGGTCCCTAATTTTTTTCATTTATCGTCCTTAAAAGGACTTAATTTCTGTGTGTAGAAATGTGTACGAACCCTGAACAAAACATTTGGGTTTAACAAATCCACTTTTGATATCTTGAGTTAAGAAATTTTAAACCTTGATCTAAAGCAAATAGATTTTTTGAAGCTTCTGAAGAATAGAGTACATTTTATATTGTGTGTTTCCAGGTGTCATATAGATACATATTTGCAGATGTTACACCATGTCCAAATCATAATTCATAATCGAGCATGCATTCATAATTGAGCTGCTTCCAACTCGGACTTCTGTCAGTGCTTGATTTGATATTCTACACGCCCTATTCAAGTCTTTTTTTTTTTTTTTTTAATTTGTAAACATGTTTAAAAAAGAGGAGAAATAAACCTGAAGGCGAAAGGCACATGCTGTACAGTTAATAGCTTAAATGTAAACATAGTATATTTGCTCAGGAAAAACTGAAAGTCGGTAATAACAAATGAATAAGATTTGAATTGTGCGACTGTGCATAGTCACTTTTCGGTAATGGAAGTGGATTGCTGGTTAGAATGTTTTTCTATTTTTCCTTATGTTTAAGGTAAACAAAGGTTTTCTGGATTTATTGAGTTTTTTTGGGGGGTGGGGGAATGTTTTTGAATAGGATTATTCTTAAATGATTTGATGTGAAAAATTACCTATCATGAATACTTTGTTGTGGAAGCTTACATGCCTGAGAAGCATTAATTAGGATGTTATCTCATTTTCCGGTTTGCTTTTCGGTGTGAAAATAATAGCTGCTTACTTAGTGGAGTTGTAAGTTAAATGAATGTTTAATAGAAATATAAGGATTCTTAATTGTACTGCATATAATTTTAATTCTTATTTTTCCAGGGTGTTCAGCAAACAAGTCGCTGATTCTAAACTTGAAAATCTGAAAAACAAAGGTCGCTAGAGGAATACAAGTGGTGTATTTATTGTGAAAGCTGTAAGATTGTTATATAGAAGTTTCCAAATAATAGTTATAAAAACTGCAAACAGATGGTGCTGTAATTGTAGTATGTAGTGCATATAGATTAGCGCTCCAAAAGACATAAGAGTGATGAGTTCCACCCTTGAAACGTGAAAGGAGGTTAGCGTATGGAAGGAGAGGTTGAAATCGTGTATTTTATTGAATGACATGTGTTTCTTGTGTGGGAGTACCAGAGGTTACATCATGGTCCTATGACAGCAAGGCATAGTTTTCAAAGATGATTGAATGCATCCGAGAAATTGATGCAAAAATCATTCACAATCTCTTTGCTAAACGTCCAGCAGACAGGCAGGATCTGGTAGAAAGGATTGGTCATAGGCAAACTGTAGTTGCTCCTGAAAACGTTACAACTGTTTCTGGACTTGTTCAGTCACATCCAAGGAAATCCATCCAAAAAATTGCAGCAGAGACTGGATTGAAGCGTTCCAGCATGCGGGAAATACTAAGAAACAGCCTAGCCATGTTTCCATTCAAAATCCAAAGTCACCAGGCACCATCTGCTGTCAGCCTTTGTACCTATTAGATTGAAACTTCTATATAACACTCTTACTGCTTTCAATAAATACACCGCTTGTTTTATTCCTCTATTGGTCAAGATCTCTATTTGTTTTCGAGATTTTTTATTTTAAAATTGGAGACTTTTTTGTTGGACACCCTGTATCAAGTGCGTTAATTTTTGTTAGGAAATTGTATGTATTTCATAATATTTTTCTTCTTGAGCATATGTATTCTTTTATTATTAAAATGCATCCCTCTTCAATTTTGCAGGGAAAGCAGCTAAAGAAGCTGAAGCTAATTTGCGGCGTCAGAGAAGAGTGATAAAGCAGCAAATTAAGTATATGGTTCTTGGGTCACGTATTGTTAGAGGACCTGACTGGAAATGGAGAGATCAAGATGGAAATCCTCCAGGTGAAGGCACAATATCTGGAGAACTGCATAATGGCAAGTTTCTTGTGTTTTATGTTTGTGTTATGTATTTTAGTGGTTTTAATGAAGAATAAAATGAAAAAACTTTCTCATTTGAGCTAGTTTTAATCTCTTAATATTTGCAGTCATTATCGGAATAAAACATTTCAGCATTAAATTTCACATTTACATTTTATATTTTATTCATTGAATAAAATGGGGTACTAACTTGCAAATGTTAAGTTACAGTATTTTTTATTTTACGTGTTTTGGCTTAAAACTAATTGCATTTAAAATTTGCAGTAATTCAGAAAATGTTGATAAATAAAACATTGCTTTGTTTATATATTAGAACTAACTTCTAATATTATGCTGCTTTGATGCAAAGTAATGTGCGCCAAAGCAGCATAATTTAGGCTAAAGCACTAAATTTCTGTACCTCTCTTTACAACTGCACTTAAATTATAATTATGTTCACAAGCATTGCAGTTGTTCTGTGTTTTTATACACAAGATGCTGTTTCTGTTTTATACACTAGAGTGTTACAGTTGAGTCACAGGAATTTGTTAAATCTTACAAAACTATTGGCATCAAAATTTATTTTTAGTGCTATATTGTTTTGATACATATGAAAACTATATTCTGTGTTATAGTACAGTAGTGTAATTCTAGATAAACAGTATATAATTTTGAAATTTTTCATTAAATGATAGAATGTGGTAATGAAAAACTCGTGAAGAGTTCATTTCTTAATTTATTCTTTTAGTAAAATGATTCCCAAACTTTTCCGAGTTGCCACGCCCTTTTTCAATTAAAATTTTTCCAAGGCTTCTTACTCTAAGTATGCTTAAGCACAAGTAAGAGATAAAAATAAATAAAACTTATCAATCTTCATTATTTAACTTTTTAGCTGTATAAATAGTAAATTAATAATATATGTGATGGATGAGCACACAAATCACTGCACATTTTCTCAAATTGTGGAATTAAATTGTACACGGCCACCCTCATTTCCTTTTCCATGTCAATTTTTGCTCTACACTTGCTTTTTATTACAGTGACTGCCAAACACCCAGCTTTGCACAAACATGACATCGAAAATAGAATTAAAAATTCCACAGAGCATGACCACTTGGTAATGATCACTATCATTATAAGAGCACATCGCGATCCTCCTAGCTGGCACACTCCAGCTGTATGATAAAAAAATGGGACTGGCCAGAAAAACAAATATAAGAAAAATCAAAAAAGTCCAAAATCTGAGTCTCAGTGCCAAATTCCAATTTTATCTTTGTTCGTATTTATGATTTTAATTATTGTCTATTCAAAAGCTTTCAAATTTGAATAGTTCTTTTTACTTCATTCTTTATGGAAATCCAAAATGCTGTCAATTCCATGTTGCCAAATTTTGCTTTTAAATTGTTTTTGCAAGATAACTCACCAAGAATCTCTTCTTCCACAGAAGTAAATTCAGACAGAGCACTAGTGATAAATGCACCTTGAATCCATGCAAAAATTTTAAAATTTTCGTTTAGAAAATATTTCTCAAACCAGATAATTAACTGTGATACATGCCTTTGAAACATTGTTTTTATATCTCGAGAAAGATAACAACAAGATTTAGGCTTTCCTGCCTGTACCACAGGCTGAACTGTACTACAGGTTCCCTCGCCCCTTAGAACCAGGCACAGAGGTTTAAACTTTTGTCCTCACACCTTGGAGAGAAGGACGTATCACCTAAGGTGACACTGGTTGTCAGATTTGCTACCTGCCAGTTGCTTGGGTTGCCCTTCGCAGTGGGGCATTATTCAAGTGAACCTGAGGGTGCTATCCCTGGCCACTAGAGCCACAGCACTCTAGGACCAGCCACTAGGTTCATAAATTTTATACCTCTGTGACCGAGACTGCCTAGGTACAGATCCTAGCCAGTAGCTTCGCAGAGTTCTCTACATGAGCCATCAATAAGGCGAGAAAGATCAAGTTCATTTGATGTAAAAATTTGCTGCAGTATTAAAAGAACAGTCATTTTGAGGAAGATCGTGTTCATTTTGTGTAAAAATTTGCTGCAGTATTAAAAAAAAAGGCTTTTTATGGATTTTCATTCGGTTTTCTTCTCCAAAGATTGAGTTTTCTTATAAAAACTGATATTTTTCATGTTGACTTCAAAAGGTGAATGTTTTTCTCTGCAGAGCAAAATCTTTTCCATCTTTGTATCATTCCTCTTATAAGAAAATAAAAATTTCTTGCTGCAGTTCAAAGGTATGTAATAAAACATTACCATAAGAGAGCCATTGTGTGCTGCTGTGGTACAGCAAGGATGAGTGTTTGCCTCCTGTATCCTTGTACACAGTGTTTTAAAAAAACTTACTTTCAATGAATGAGATCTTATAAAATTTACCACACTCACCGCACATATTAACACCTGATTCAGTGCAGAACTGAGATGCTTTGACAAAAGTGCTTCTGTATGAATAATGCTGAGTCCACTGTAGCACTGCACACAGATTAAGAGAAAAATACAGTTTAAAACATCAAATCAGAATTCCCAATACTGTTCTGTTGCTGTTTATAAGTCATCAAATCCTTTGCAAATGTAACTCCTTCCTGCGGCAAGAGAACAGAGCTTCATCTGTATAGAGATCAACACACTTATGCCGACCCAAATTATTCTCAGACATGAATGTGTCAAGAATCTGGAACAGGTCCTCAACCTTTGCTCCTGCAGTGGTAAGACCATTAATTAAAGAAGACAATCTCTTGTAAAAATACAAAACAGAAGGTCTTTAGTATTATTACCATCTGTTACAATTTGTGCCTAGCATATCAAATGAGCATCCTTATTTTTCATAGCCTCATCTACTGGTCCAAATTTAACTCCTTTAATTTTTTCAATTAAATATTGGTATCTGCCATGTTTTATTCTCTGATTAATTATGTTATTGGTCAAAGGCATTTTTAAAAGCAGCCAGCAGATTTCCAGCAGACTTATCAACTATGATGTTCACCATATTTACAGCAGCTGGTAGAGTAAGTTCTGTGAGGGTATGAGGCTTCTTACATTTTGTGATTCTGTAACCTACCTCATAATATAGTACTGAAGTGTTTATTTTCTAAATGGCACTTCAATTGACATGGAAACATACGCTCCGCTGCCAAAACTTTCATACACAGTAGAGATTGTGGTCTCTTCATCATTCATTTCTGTTGACGTAAAACCAAACTCTAAGTAACTGTCATCATACTTATGATATTTTGTTTCATCACAGTCATGACACTGATTGAAGACATACATAATTTATCTGCACTAATATTGTTTTCTGCCGTTCAAAAAACGGTCCACCATGAAAGATACAAGAGGAAAAAAAAAAAAAAAAAAAAACTATTTGTCAAAGACAACAGTCAAGAAGTAATATAACACTTAACTATACTACCTGAGTTAATTTAAATCTCTGTTTATTTATATGTAGCACTGAGTTTAATTTCACTAGACTTACGAAGCCTGATTGAATCGAGCTAGCAATGCTTGTTTTATGCTTCCTGCAGGATCTTCAAGAACAGTCCAAATGTGTCATCCAGTGTCTATACACCTCTGTGTCTATATGCCTGGTAAACCTGAATTGAGAATACTGGATAGAGTAGAAAATGCATAATTCACGTGAAATCTGAACTGAATGAAAATGAAGGATTTTCGACTCCGGGGAAAAAACGACCTATTGAAAATTGGTACATGCAAACCCAAACCAAACAACACAGTAACCTAACTTTAGCAAGAATACGAATAAAAGTTGATGGTTTCTTTTTATGAAATGAGCTGTGAAAAGATTGAAAAGGCGCAGCATTGTTGGCTTGCGTTTGCATAACTATTCTGTGCAAACAAATCTACTTTTATGCAGAGTCAAGTAAAAACAAACCAGCTTCTCACTTTGTTTTTTGTTCTGTAGCATTGTGTATTTTTAGTTATCATAAAGTGTAGGGAATATTGAAGAGTGTTTAGCGAATTATTACCAAGTCTTTTAAAGTACTGAAAGTCAGAAGAATGATGTATACAACCCTTTATTAACTCACATAAAGTTTAAGAGTTTTGCAGCAATTTATGCGTACGGAAGCCAACACTTTTGACTTTAGATTTAAGTCTAATAATAAGATAATGAATTGAAAAAATTAATGAACTTAAATATAATTAAACTTATAAAAACTTAAACAATTAACTATCGTGCAAGCTTCTTGCGATGCGAAGTTGGCATAAACAAGCCTAGTGGCAAGAGTAATTTAAAAGTACAGAATTCTAATCGCTAGAAAATCAAAGTTAACAATGTGGCCTCCAAGCAGGCAGAAAGTGCTCTGATTTCACCCCCCCAAAACCTTTTTAAAGAAAATATTTCCTTTTTCTGCCTAATTTGAATATCATGTATGCTGGAAATTTTCTTTCTGACAGGACAATGAAATGAGGTTTGATAGAAAAAGTACTGAAAATAAAGGATAAAAAAGTTAAATGATACTGTACAGTTCAGGTAGGCCAAATATCTTGGTTCAGTTAAATATGAAGCTGTTACAATATTTCACGGCACCCCTGTGCAAAGGGGGGCATTGCACAGTTTGGGAACCACTGTTTTAGTACATTGAAAAGTGGTTAATAAATTATAAAAAAATTTTCTTGGAAATACTTAATACAATTTTTTTTTTTTTTTTTCAGGAATGGAAAAATTCTTGAAAAGTAATAAAAGAAACAAATTATTATAAAATTGTTTCTTAGAAAGAAGCTTGCTAGATAAAGTGTAGGGGAAATACAGTGTGGAAAACAGTGAAATTTAAATTAATATAATCTGTATTCAAATACTGATAGACCTCTTTATCTCAAATTTGTCAAACAGGCCGACCAATTGCCGAAGAGTCAAGTTGTTGTACACTGTTAGTTTGACATGGGTTCATTTCCAGGCCATTGCATACCTGCTTTTGTGTTTTCTACTTGTGTAATGTGGATGCTAGCCAGTTTCAGGTTTTCCATAATGAAATAAAGCAAATTTCTGCCTGTGTCCCCTCCCAAAAATGAAATTCCTGTATTTTTTAAGTTGATGTATTTTGCTATAACTATCTGGAGGTATTTCCTATGAAACTCTGACTCAAATTTCTGATTCTGGGCATTAAGTAACCGCATGTCTTGTCTCTTGCTTGCCAGAAACACTCAGTAGTTTTCAGTGGCCCGAAAGTTAATCTGTCTGTAATCTGTCCAGTTTTTAGATCAGTGGGAATTATTTTTTTATTTGTTTCCGTATGTTCCTTAAATAAGATAACCAAAAGGGGAATAGGAAGCATAACAATGCTTTCCATGCAGAATGAGCTTTTAAAAAGTAAAGTGATGACCAATTAGGGAAGAGCAACAATTTTTTCTTTCTTTTATAGGAATTAACTCAGTCAGAGAGTCCAGTAGACATTTCTTTGTTTTTTCTAATTTTGTGCATATTAGTCCTAATATAACAAGAATGAGAAGAAAACATAAACATGTTTTTAATAGAAAGTTAAGTTGAAATTTTTAGGTGAAAATTCTGTTGATGAAAAAAGAGATTGTTTCAAATTTTGGGATATCTTCAAGTATTCTTGTAACTGTAGTAGTGAAAAGTGATGATGTTGAAAGAAACGCGGTAAAACACGAAGAAAGTAAAAAAAAAAAAAAAAAATATTCCAAAATTCCAAATACTCAGATATGTGGAAGAAGAGTGTGTTTGGAAGTTCAGGGTGTTTCATATTGAATGGGACAAAAGAATACAATAGTACACATTTCTAGTTGATCTGCTGAAACAAATGAATTTGATAACTAAAGTTATACAAGTTTAATCTTGCAACAGTGACAAATCTTCCTGTTATGAAATCACCACTAAATGGTGTTAAATGGTACTATCTATGCAGGAGAAAGCATACTGCATTTTGGAATATATGAAAACATCGTTTATCGTTGTTCAAAGACATTTTCACATAAAATTTGGTAAAGAATCACCACGTTGTCACAACATTGAAGGGTAGATGAAACAATTTCAGGACATAGACTTCTTGTGTAAGAAAACCATTCCAGTACGAAAAGCAGTCAAGACCGAAGTGGCTGAAGAAATTTTGTGGAACACTTCAACAAAATCAGCACATTGTATTAGTTCCAAGCCTCATGTAACGTTGTGCCGTGTGTTATGGAAACGTCTACAGTTCCGGCCATACACCTTTCGGATAGTGATAAAACTTTCTGATCAACCATTATGTGAAGGTTTCTGTGAGAATTCTCAAGATAAGCTGTAGGTAGATGATTTTGTGAACAGACTTGTGTCTGCAGATGAAGCCATTTTTCGTGTTTCTGACAGAGCTAATGTCCATAATGTGCAATTTTGGGGCACCGAAAATCCACATGGTGTAATGGAACATGAGCGTAATTATACAAAGATGAACATTTTCTGCACCATTCCCAACAGTCCTGTTTTTGGTCCCTTTTTCTTTGTGGAAAAACTGATTAATGGATCCATTTAACAAGATATGCTCTGAGTGGTTGTTCCCTCAGTTGGAGGAACAGTTCCTGGCTTCATTCTGCGGCAAGATGATGCTCCACCACGTTGGCATTAAAAACATGTAGTAGCACCTGAATAATATTCTAGCTCCTTTCTGGATTGGTCGCACTGGGTCAAATAATATGCCATGGCTTTGTTGGCCACCGATATCCCCAGCTCTAATGCCTTGTAATTTTTTTTTCTATTGGAATTTGGTTAAAGACAAAGGGTCTGTGCCTTCATTTCCCCAGGACCTGCAGCAATCAAACTAGTAGATTACTGAAGTGCTTGAATCATTAACAAAGAATATTTTATCATGAGTATTGCAGGAACTGGAATGCAGAGGCTGTTCGTGCTTTTTTTAGATGATTTTGCTCTGCTATTAAAAAGTCATCTGCTTGGAAATTTTTGTTTTAACTGCAACTATGTTTATGAAATTGTAAATTATCGTCTGCTACCTTACAGTTTTGTTTTCGTGCAGCAAGAAGCAGTGGATGGAAAGTTATGTTTGTGCTCTTTTCGAAGGAAATTATTCTTATCTAATTACTAAAAAAGCTGTGAAAGCCATGGTTTTTTGATATTTAAAGCTAAGGTAGGTAATATTGTCAACAAGAAAGGGAAGAAAAAGAAGAAAGGGGGCTTCAAATAGAAAATTTATTCCAAATACATATCCAAGGGGAAAATAGAATGTTGCAAAGGTAAGATTTTTAATGTTAAAAGAAAACCCGGGTACAGTTGCACATTAAAATGCTCGTTGTCAACTGTAAACAGAGTGATGCTGATTTATATCTTAAAAAGGCAAAAAAAAGATATGCATTGTCTTTCTCTAGGTCATGTCACAGAATGCACTGTGGAATTCTTTATGAGAAACATTTATCTGGATGAAAATGGGAAAATGTATCACAATAAATAGATCTTGGGTGCATTTAAAAGATTGCAATAAAAAGAGATCCATTTATCAAAGAGGAGGGAAAAAAATTATTTGTGAAAGAATTTAAAGAAAACTTTTCAAAGGGATTTGCGATTGTTGCTGGTTTTCCATGTAGCGGCAAATCAAAAATAAAGAGAGTAGATAAAAATTGTTAAAATCAACTCTCCATATTACCAGAAACTTATTTTATACCCAATTTTCAAATATGAAGTACCTTCCTTCTTTTTACCCACAGTACCATCAATCAGTGGAACTGCATCAGAACAAAGAAAGCGCCACATGTCAAAATCCACTGTAAATTTCAGGAAAAAAATGGAACCGATAGTGAAGAAAGTGACAGAGAAGATACTGAAAACGAGAAAATTTTGTTTGACAAGTTAGTCGGAATTCTCGAAACAGCAGTTACAGGCCTCCAACAATGTAACTGAACAAGAGATTATGTCTGTCTACAGAATTAAAGAGAAAGTATTAGCACAAAAAAAAAAAAAAAAACGAAGCAAATTAAACAACTTACTTTGAAAGACATGCTTAATAAAGTAAACAAATATATATTAAGCTTTTTTTTTTTTTTTTTTTTTTTTTTTTTTTTTTTTGTGAATGTTGATACCCTTTAGATCATAAATACATCATTGTGTTATAAAACACAATCTCATATTTTTAATTTTATGATTTCTACATGCCATCTTACTAGATTAAAATTGATGATCTAATATCCAGAAAAATCCCAAATCCGGAAAGTCCGGACATCGGACTTTGTACTGTATAATATCTAACCTGACCAACATTTTTATTTTACTTTTGCTGTTTGTGCTATTTATATCTTCTGCTATGTGTATGTTTATTATCTGTGCACTAGAATCTTAACAAAGAAGGTAAATGATAAGTATATTGTCATTTTTCTAAATATCAAATATAAACATTTTCGTGAACCTGGTTTTTTGCATTACTTTTTTTATTGTGTTATCTAGAATTTGCTACTGAAGTGGAGAAGCTTAATGGAATATTTTCCTAATGCATGACTAAATCCAAAAATTAGAATATTTGTTATTATATTAAAATCTGTTTACTTCCTAGAAATTTCTAGAATATCACAATTGCTGCATAATATAATCTCTTATTACTTTTTAAATGTACAATTAACAAAAGTAATTTTTCCTGCATTAAACTGGTTAACTTTATGAATTAAAATACTTGTATGTGCTATTGACCTCCTTCCATTAAAATTTGAAATCAGTGAGTTATTCAAATAATCAAATAAGATAAAATATACATCAACCCTTAAGTGGGATGACAGCCTTGCTCCGGTCATAAGATTTATGTAATTTGGTATATATATATCCTTATGATTTAAATTATATTTTCTTATTTTCATTAATAATCTAAATTTTATGTTCATGAATACAAGTTTATGAAAAGAGGCTAAAATAGTTAATTATACAAATTCGGTTAAGAAATGCTGTTTGAAGTTCTTTATAAGCATAACCAAAAGGTCGAGCTCTCAAACGGTTCATGAAAGAATGCAGAAAATTAAACATACATTGAAATTATTTTTGCAAGAGGTTTAGTAAGCCATCTTTGTAGTATATGATATATTTGAAATTAATCAAAAGATGTGCATTTTATTTATTATGAGTTAAAATATTTATTTATGACTTTTCTATCTGCATTGTATTTGCCTCTATTAGACATATATTTCTTAACCTCAGTTTTTTAAAATATGGTACAACATGCCAAGGAAAAAGTGTTGAATATTTTCTTTTAGTGCTAAATATATTTATGTCTGAAAACTAGTATTCATCCTAGTTTATAATGATGTATAATTCCTTTCAGGATGGATTGATGTTACTTGGGATCAGGGTGGAGCAAATTCTTATCGTATGGGAGCTGAAGGAAAATATGATTTAAAGCTTGCCCCTGGGTTTGACCCAGAAGCTTATCTTGCCTCAGTAGCTAGTTCTACCACTGCTGCTGCTAATATAAAATTGCGTTCAAAAAACCCTGTGACTTCATCTATTGGTTCTACCTTGTCATCTGCAAGCCTTAAAGTTGCTAGAACCATGACAACTGACACATCTTCAGCAAGGGGAAGTGTGTCTAGCAGGTTAATTTTGTATATGAAAATATTTATTTTCTGATATGATGTATAAATGCAATTTGGAACTGTGAAAAGGCTTTGTTTTTATGTTTACTGTTTAATTATTTTTCATTAATTTTGCATCATATTGAGTTCTAAATATCTTTGTAGTTCGTTTGGAGGATGTGAAACGTCATCTAGTCTTAGTGTTCTGGCAGGTGATCAGTCTACCTCTGGGAATTTATCTGTTAAGGTATTTATAAAATAAAAGCTTTTTTATCTTTTTATCTTTTTTTTTTTTTTTTTGTGTGTGTGTGTGTGTGTGTGTGTGTGTGTGTGGAATGTTCGATTGTATTGCTGAAAATTTCTTCTTGCTTGTTATGGAATCGTGTACATAAAGTATCTGTAAAGATGTAATAAAAGGTAGTTATATAGTAACATAGTGTTTCTAAGTTCAAAAGTTTATAGACTTTTCCCACAATGAGAATTTTGTTTATAAACTCAAAAGTTGGTATTTTTCAAATTATTAGTGTCACCTTTGAATTAGAAGGTGTAATCGTTATGAAATATGTAAAAAGCTGCTTGCAGTATATGAATAAAAGGCATAATTTTTTAAATATGTCTTTTTTTTTAATCATTACTTCAAGTGAGTATATAAATATAAAATATCCACAATATCTTACATCCTGCCTGGCAGCTGCATTTGTTAACTAGTTAAGTAGATGCTAAAAAATAATGTTTTTGAATTCCATAGAATGTTATGTTTTAGACACTCATTCAACATTTATTATGTTCAGGCTGTTAAAGTACTGTTAATATGTAAAATATTGATAAGTCTAGAGTTATTCATTGTATATGTAAAATATTTTTTCTGCTGTTAAATTTTGTTTCAGGCATTTAATAAAGTTTTATTTTAAGCATATGCTTAATGATCCTACAGTAATTAAAATTGATATTGAAATTAAAGTAGTTATGCAATTAATTTCATTTAAAAAAATTTTATAATTACTGTCTTGATGAAATTTTCTCTCTTACAGACAACTATTCTATTTTGTTTCATATTTTTCAAAAGCAGTTTTTGAATTGCATTCTCACTTTTGTAAAATAGCAGCTTATTTGATCAGCATAATTCATTTCAAAGATTTTGCTTAGAATTTGCAGATTCGCCCCCCCCCCCCCCGCATTTCAATTTTGATCATTTTTGTATATTTCAGTTCTTTTTTTCATGTCATTTTTTTTTTTCAGTTTCTGTCAGTTTGTAATGACCAGAATATTCTAAAAGTTCATCTTTATGATTTTTTCTCATGTTGTTCTCAATATGTGAAAAGCATTAATTTCAAAAGTTCATCTTATCCTTTTCTCCATTGAAACATTAGATAATATGCAGTTAATGGCTATAATTATGCAGTATACTATGGGGTACGTACTTATCTCCTTCTAAGTTCTTGCAGTGTCACGTTAAAAAATTTTATTTTAATTTTGCAATTAAATTTTTTTTTTTCCATTTTTGCAGTTTTTTATTAATGTTTTGAGTTTCTTGAGATTCACTGTTATCAAATAATTGCTAACATTTTCTCTATATTCTGTTTATAGGTATAATGTAATGTAACAAAAATTTTAGTAGTCTAGTAATTTCAGTAAAACAGTATTATATAAAACATTTAATGTAAACTATATGTTACAAATTTTCCATCACTAATGTGATTCACAGCAGATTGTATACAAAATTTGTAATACATATTTTTATCTGTGCTCTTTCATTGGGACTTCAGCAATTCCGGATTTCAGAAATTTCTGAATTTTAGATTACAAGTTTAAATCTAGTGAGAGGACTTGGAGAAAGTATGCAAGTCATATGTGAAGTAATGTAGCACATACGACATTAATGGAATCAAAATTTCTGAAGAAAAAAAACTGAATATCTATTTGTTTGTTGCATTAAACTTTTTCTTAATGTAAGTTGTTTAAACAGTTTCAGTATTTGTGCTACTTTCTCTTTAATTTTTGCTGACAGGCATAATTTCTTATTCCTTTTGACTTGATGGTCATCACTTTCTTTTTGATATAGTTTTATTTGAATAATGTAAATGTACTTCAGTGACCATAAACCTATAGGTCACTGATGGATGACAAGTGCAGTAAGCCAGTGTGGCACAGGGCTAAAGGCTGGGTCATCTGCTTCTCACAGCTGAAACCAGAAGTAGAGACTGATGATGTAGTTTGGTTCATTTGCTGCTTCGAGTATCTTATTCTGCCTTCGATTTCATGATTACTTGCTTGAAAATTAAGAGGTTTTAAAGAAATTTTTGGAAAATAATATGGGCAAATATCTCATGAAATTACAATATATATGCATTTATATCTGACCTAGTAATGTAGCTATGGCAAATTTAATTAAACTATAGTACATGTAAAACATAAGCTTAAACTAATTTAAAGTCAAATATGCATTAAATATGGTTCATTTTTTCCACAAAATTTTTTTACAAATGCATTTAAATAGTAATCCATCAACGAAAAACATTGGTAAATTTCTATATTTACAAAGAATTCTTTTTCAGTTAAAATATTACAAATAATATTACAGTTTGCATTATAGAAATATTAAATACAATTATACCAGCATACTTTCAGAGTACATGCTAGAAAGACCTTACAAACCCATCTGATTAAAAGCTAATTAATGCTAATAATAAATTTCATAATACATTAAATCCAAACAAATTTTGCTTCATTTAATTTTGTGTTTCAACTAGCACTGGAAATGAGTTAATCAAATTTTTGTAAGCCTTGGCAGTGACTATTATGAAGACATTATTATAAATCATCAGGATTACTATGCAGGCGTATATTACTCATAAAATAATAAAAATATTTTAAATTGATATTTATATGCTTTTGTATGTACACTCGTGTATTCTTATATCTTAAAAGTATGTTTTCTAATGCTTATTTATCTCTATGCAGAATTTCATGATTTATTTTGCATAATTTTATAAATAGCTATCAAAGTGCATAAAATAAATCATATAACAAATTACGTGAATAATAATCCAAATAATGATTTAAAATATTTCTGGTGCAGTAAAATGTATTAATTTACATGATTAATTTCCATTTACCTATTTTCTGGTTAGCTTTTCTTACTGACATGAGGATTGCATTCAAATTCAAGTGTCAAACTCTTATGAATGTTCCTAAACAGCAAAATAAATGAATCATGTTCTTATTCTTCTTCAATGGCCAGACAGCCCAGGATGGGCCCTTGCCTTCCTCAGAATCGAATTCCAAGCTCTTCTATCCCTGGCCAAAAACATCCAGTTGGTAATTTTTAAAATTCTTAAATCTGTTTCCAAGCAGTTGAGCCACTTAAGTTTAGGTCTCCCTCTTTTTTGGGTGCCGCGTGGTCTGGCAGAGAAGATCTTTTTAGTTACTCGATTTTCATCCATTCTGCACAGGTGTCCTGCCCATTTAATTCTCTGAATCCGTATATATTTTACTATATCTATTTCTTTAAAAGATTTGTAGAGTTCAGAGTTAGTTCGTCTTCTCCAGATATTGTTATATTTTATGCCACCAAAAATACTTCTCAAAATTTTTCTTTCAAAGACAGAAATAATACTTTGAGCTTTTTCTGTCATTGCCCAGGTCTCAGTAAAGTATGTAAGAATGAGTTTGATTAAGCTTTTGAAAATTAAGATCTTCGTTTTTCTGGCCAGTTTCAAGTACTTTTTGAGACCGAAAAAATATCGTTTAGCATCTGTGACTCTACTACGGATCTCGGGCATTAAATCATTGAGAGTATTAAACTTCTGATCCTGAATATTTAAATTTGCTAACAGGTTCAAATTTTTAATTCCCAACTTCAAAATAGGGGATGCTGTTATTAGCACATGGCATGTATTTAGTTTTATTTTGGTTGATTGCTAGATGCATTTTGCTGGCTGCAGCCTCTAAAGTCTGTGACTTGGGAGTGCTTGCGACTATGTCGATATCGGCAGCAAATGCATGGGTTCAGAAAGATTATTCTGGATTTTGACTCTAAGTTTTGTCTCAGTAAGAGTAATGGTAACCAAATTTATAAGTTTTTCAGGTATTACAAATTCTCATGTTCATATTGATGGATGGAAAATGTTTTTCAAGTTTAGATATATGATTTTTAATTTTTCCATACATTTAAAAAATTTTCTTCAACCTTTGTGGAAAACGGCTCATATCTACCTATGATTTTACAGATAATATCTGATTGCAATGCTTTCTGAAATGCCATCTGGAGACAATTTAATTCGCTTTGGTTTCATTAACGTACTTATTTGTGTTTCGATATTTATGTTTTAAATGTACATTTTCGTTTTCTGTAATTTTCTATTTTCTTGATTAATTTTGAGCCCGAAAGGGATGTTAGTCTCAAAACGGCATTTTGTGTTGTATGCCTGTAAATGGCATATACTTTTCAAATTGTTGCAACCAACCCTGTATTCTATTTAAAGTATACTCTGTATTATATTAATTATTACCCTGTATTCTATCTAAAGAAGTTATGTTTGCAAGTTTCTTGAGTTGTGAAAAAATAACGGAGCCATGAAATTTTAAATAATGTAATCCTTCCCCGAACATGGACACCTGGAAATTTCAATTAACAAATTCAATGATTCGAATTTTCAATTAACAAATTCAATGATTCGAATTTTCAATTAACAAATTCAATGATTACAATGCATGTAGTGGCAACACTGTATGGGGGGAAAAGCACTTTCTATCGCCAGCACACGAGCCTGTGTATCGGAAATTTTAAAGATATGATGTTAAATATTTTGTGCTTTTGCTGTTGAATGGAATTTTATTTGTCAAAAGCTCCAAAAATAGGATATTGAATAAATAAACACTAAAGTGTTAATATTAAAAATACAAAGCAAATAGTTTTGTAAAGCCATCTCAGTAAGAAAACTGAACTTTAATATGATGAACTGACAAAAGAATGGACAAAAACAAACAAACAAAAGCATATCCTTGCTCTGCAACACTTATGGAGCCATTCTTTCGTCTGCAGAACGCTTCTGTACGGAAATTGATGCATTATGACGTTTGTGTCTTTTGTATTATGATAAGTATTACTGCAGGTTGCGACGGCACAGGACCCCCCTTTTTTCTTCAATATTTTCCTGTCAGCTATAATTTTCAAGTAAAAGAAACCTCTTTCAAAGAATCTAAGAAGTAATGATTTAAGCTTTCACACTCTGAAGCTGTGGTCAAAAGGCGAGGTGAGGAACCCAGTGACGTCACATTGCTCACCAACAGGTTTCATGTCGGCATTGTTCCCCTCAAGAGGATAAACCAGCCCTTCTTTTCCCTTAGCCCTGAGTGTGGCATTGATGATTGATCACCTTTGGATTATTGTATTTTACTAAACAGTAATTAACATAATTTTAAATGTATTTAACTTGTAATCTACCTAACTGATAATTTGTGTGAACATTTTTGGATTATTGTAACTTATTTTAGCTGTGTCCAGCACCATTTATTACATAGCTACTACAGAATTGGTTTTCTTTTCTGTTGTATTTTGTGTAAACTTTTATATTTTATGACATATTAATATTTACTCAGTGATTTATAATTTTTTGGGGACAAGTGAAAATGCTTAGTAATTTTGTATTATATATGTGAAAAATATATATTTATATGAGTTTTCTTTTAAAGCAGGCTGCAGAAATGTTGGCAGAAAATGTTCTAACATCTGCTAGTGCTGAAGCAGCTGTTGTTACAGCTGATGTATCAGAGTCTGAAAACAATGCTACATCCAAAAGACTACAGTCTTGTAAAACAATTGTAATGCGTAATGAATTTTCTGTTTCAATGGGTGTTGGTCTTTCTCCTACCCGAGAAGAGACTGAAGATGCGTCCACTATTAGAGACTCTATTGAGAACCTTCATTTATCAGAAGCATTGCGTATTCCACCAGGGAATGATAAACAGTGCATAGCAGACAACCAGCTTCAGAATTCAAGAGAATCTGGTTCTGGAAACATGAGTGTCAGTGCTCCTAATTTATCTAATACGAATGTTAGTGATTCTGCTGTTAGCTTGCTTGAAACATTTGCTGCTGTTGCACGCAGAAGAGCTAATGGCAATGCTACAAATTCAAGTACCCCTAATTCATTGTTTACCAGAGGTTCTAATAATGTTGGGAGCCTGGTACGATTAGCTTTATCTTCAAATTTCTCAGGTCAGTATATTTTACATGCAGTATTGCCTTCTTGCACTGATTTGGTTTTTATTAAACTTTTGTTTCATGTATTACTACAAGGTATTTCGATAGGTAGTTCATCCAAAAAATCAGTAAATATTTCCATCACATTCTCTATAAAAACATAAATCGTGGTTTGCATGTCACCAAGGTACTGCGGGCCAAAAAATGCTGGAAATATCCTCTGTCTACATCCGGACATACTCAAGTAACAAAATCTGTATTAAGGTTCATAGCGTTACGTGTCAAATGGTCTGCATTGCTTTATTCATTTGCATTTTTAATCCTACCATTAGTGAGATTGATTTTTTGTAAGCATTACCTATGATATTGTCTTCATAGCAGGGAATGAAGTCAAACAGTGTGAATGGGATAGCCAATTGTAGAATTTGGAACTTGCATTGAGACCTCGCACAAACAGACTTAAAGCCAAAAGTAATCATAATTAATCATGAATGTTACTACTGGGTATTTGAAAAGACTGAAGCTTGTTTTAAAGCAACTCATTGTGCTTGTATGTAATATTCAGACGAAAAAATATATAATTGGCTATTAGGAAGGGCTTCTTACTGAAATACTTTGTATAAGCTATTAATACACATTTGTGTTTCTGTTTTTATTGAAATTTCTTGTGCATGGAAACAGGTTATCTGTAAAGTTAAAAAATTATTAGATTTAGAACCCACGAATGTTTCAAATAAATATCTTGAAACTTCTGTGCTTAGAATTTTTTTTAATCCACTTTTTCTTTAAAATATTATTTTATGAAGTAAATGATTTGAAAGTGTTGTATCTCTCCATTCTTCTGCTCATTTGAAATGAATGCAAATTCTAGAGCTTGAACAACTAGCTAAAAGTTTTTAGTGTAAGTCATTACCCTAATACCCATTTTTATGCCACTTTTGCATTTTACGTTTATGTTCTTTGCTTAAAAGCACAGCATGTTATGAATTTGATATATTTCTTCCTCATACAGGGTGCACTAAAAGTCACAGTCACTAGACTTTTTAAAGCTAAAACAAGTTGTAGAAAAAATGTGGTGTACCATAGGATTTAAATCTTGAATTCAGATTATTTTATAATACATTAAAAAAAGCATTTTATTTAAAAAAATATTTATCAAATATTGAAAAAAATGGTAGCTTCTGTAAATAAAGCAGTTTCTCTCTGTATTAGTTTCATTAAATCTCTCTCTCAAATTTTAATATTTAAAGGGTTTGTAATCAAGTGAAATAATTATACCTTCTCTTTCAGCAGTAGGTATTTATGCTCCATAAGAGACCTAGATATGTAAATGCTGTAAAACTTTAAAGGAAGCTGTTCACACATAAAGCTTATTATAATTATTATTTTTTGTGTGCATGTGTGTGGTTTTGTGCCTGATGGTTTATTTCTAGATGATTTTGGTTTGTAAAATTTGGTGGTTCTTTCTCATCAGAGTATTAGCAAATTCAATTGTATGTCAGTTTCAAATGTGCAAGAGGTGAAAGTATGGTGAGGCTCACTCATAGTGACAGCACTGATTCTCTTGTGATATAATGAAGAATTCATAAGTTTAGGAATCTCTCAGTGATTTAGTGTCTAAATTTGCGGACTATGGGTAGTTGATTGAGTTCACTGATGAATGGATCCACTGCAAGGGGGTTTTGTTTTATCTCATTTCTTTTGTGAATACAATCAATTTTACTTAGAGAGTCTTCCATAAATGCATCCCTTTTACTAGGCACTTAGCCCAAGCAAGATTTTTCAGGATTCACAAATCCACTTGTCTTCATTCGGTAGGAAATCTAAATTTTATATTCTTTCTTTTTAAGTCTCTGAGTAAAAATTTGTTAGTATATGTTTTTTGTTGCATTAAGTGGTAGTATAATCAAAAAATTATTGATAGAACTTTTGGTATATTGATCTCACATGGGTAACAGAAAGCTTTCTATTGTATGATTACTAAGAAGTGGAATTCCAGTATAGTAACGTCATTAATTTGTTTGTTAAAATGTGTTATTTTCTTATGAAATTCCAGTGCCTATTTGTTTCTTGCAGACTTGGTGTGAGGAGAATTGTTCATCTCCATGGTAATAGCCCTAGTTTTCATTCTTTCATATGCAAATTAAAGCTTTAATTTTTTTTTCTGAGGGATCTGTGGAGAATAAATGAAATATGGAAAGTATACAATCAGGGTAATTTTACTTTGCCACCTACTTTTTCTATGAATAGATATTGAGCAATGTTAATATGCACTACATATTATATATATGTGTAATAATTGCTAAGCCAGAGATTGTTGTGGTGTGAGTATCTTTATGAATGTCATTCGGGTATGATAATTTTTGATTGCTTGTTTTAGTATTTTTAGATTGAGTCTATTTAAGTTGAGTCATTCATTAAATGAATTTTTTTAATATTTGTTTACTTTTGAAGTATGAAGATTAGCATCTGTGTATGGAAAAATGGTACCCTTTTTTATAGCATAAGAGAGTGAGACTAAGAGTTAATATCTCCTACTTATAATTATAAGCTGTTTTGTATAGCCATAGAGAAGATCATTTGTCAGGAGGTGCTACCCAGATGGGTTGGAAATAGGCCAAGGAGAAACGAAGGCCTAAAAAAGGCGTTGCATGTCTGTTAGTTACAATGCTTGTAAATTTAGCAGTGAGTTATATAAGCTCCAAAATCTTACCACCAGCAGTAATATAAACCTTTTAACATTGAAGCCCGAATCTGTGGATTTGTGGAAATATGCCTGGCATATTACGCATGCATCCAGCTGCTCTGGTGACTCTTTATTGTATTGAGATTTTTCCTTCTCATCGATATAGTGGTGTTGCAATTGCACTAGGGTTTTCTTCAACATAAGTGTTATAAACAAGGTTTTGATGTAATTTTAGAGGAAAAAATCCGTGGAGAATATGTCAGTTGATTTTGATGGTCAAATATTGCTGCCAATACCCTCTGGCATTTTCTATTGATTTCTGACTATACTAGACATTTGTCTCTGGACAAATAGTCAGATCTACCACGTTTGTGCTGCAAGGAATTGAAATCCTTCTGTTTATTAAACAGGATTGCCATGCTACCTGGAAAATGGGGAAAAGTCAGGGAATTCGAAAATTAACCAAAAAATTCAAGGAAAAGTTAGAGAATTTAAATATTTTAGTCAAAATCTGGAAAAGTCAGGAAATTTCATACTGCGATCCCCCCCCAAAAAAAGCGAGTTTTGCGCCGATGTTGGAAGCGATCACTTTCTTGGCGAATTAATCTGTCGCATGTGCGTCATTCAGGCAGCTGGCATAGAGCAAATTTTCACAGTTCCAATTAGATTGTCTTTTAGAAAGGCAAAGCAAGTTTCCAGTAAACTTGAGAATCGCATGTGCATGTTGAACTAAACAAAATACTTATTCTAGTATAAAACAAAATCGGTTAAATTGTAATATACAGTACCATGAAATTCGAATCAAAGAATATGTATTGCTAAGAAGGAAAACCTCTCTGCAACAGGAGTGGCTCCATTCCAACGTAGAGGGAAACAGCTGTGCATGCTCGAAATATCTGTCGCCAAAGCTTGAAGCCAGTGTTGAAATTTGAAGATCACGTTATCAAGAGTTCATAAAATGAATATCGTTTAAAATTTCTTTAAACTTTAAAGCAAAAGAAAATATTTTTTGTGATGAAAGTAAATTAATTAATAGATTATTTATTTATTAAAAAAAAAAAAAAAAAAAAAAAAAAAAAAAAAAAAAAACTACAAAAATCCGTGTTTAAATTATTGTGAAAAATCAAAGAATGTTTCATCTTAATACATGTTCCTCAATTTCCTGTACACATCGCTGAGAGGGAAATTCTGACAGCCAGGTTCTGTCGCCAAATCCCTTGACATATTCTCCCTCTGATTTCTAGTGACGTAATAGCATTACGTCTATGGAACGTTTCTTTCTTATATAGATGTTCTTTGGTTAGAACACAGAGTATAATGATACGGAGTACTTTGGTTAGAACACGTCACTATTCTCCGTAGGTTAGAATAACCTCCATGTACGGTATACATGGTATTTGGTGGCATTATGATGTGCAGTAAACCGGTCATTTTGGTGTTGGCGGCAGTTTTCAAAATTCTACCAAGGCCGTAGCAAAGACTAGGATTTTATCGCAAAATCTTTTAAACTTTTTTTTTTTTTTTTCATTTTAATAAATGCCTTATTTTTCATTTTGCAGTAAAATAAAAAATCGTAATCAGTCAGTAAAAATAGTAATCGTTTAATCTGACTATATTCGCCAAAATATCATTGATTATGGTAATTCAATTTTTAAGTAATTAACTTCATTTTAATGTTATTTATAGCATTTAATGTTTAAATCCTCTAAATTTATTTATTATTAGTTAACAATACTTTCAAATTTAGGCAAATTTCTCTGGCATAATTCTGAAACTAAATCTAGCAGTATGATGACATACTATCACGAAATTTAATGCACATATTTTTGTTTATGTATGCTGCTAAATAAATATAAAATACCTGAATTTATTTTAAAATATCATTAAATAGATTTATTTATTTCGTTTAGCTGCAAAATGTCTGCAAAAAAACTCGTTTTTTAATCCAGATCGGGCAGATTCTAATCTCAATCTTCAGTGGAGAAAACAGCTCCTATTATAGCTATAATAGTAATTCTTTCAGGATTTTATTATATAATGCCTCTGAATTGACAAACTTTTGTGTTTACAAATGGTACTATAATTAATTTACTTCTCAGCGCAGCCAACACGCACTATGCGAATAGACTGGAATTTTCTCAAAACACACCTGGAAAATCTGGAAAAGTCGGAATTTCATTCTCCTCTTTGAGTGGCAACCCTGATTAAAATAGATAGTTGACAATGCGTAATAGAGGACTGACAGGCTTAATGTCCTAATTCAGAAAATACTATCCTGTTGTTATGTGTATTAGTGTATTCTCATCTAAAGTAGGTTTCTTCAACCCGT